ACATTAAATAATAAATCGATCGATGCCCAACCCACCCCAGCTGCGTGCTGTTCACTTAAAATTGTCAAGGTACGAGTTACGCATGCAGCTCACTTCCAAAATTATATAGAGGTTGACTTCTCATTACAAATTTAGAAATTTACACATCACAGTGCTCCCGTCGACAGCCAAATTAATATTTGGTTGGTTTGTCTCAAATAACTCAATTACTTCACTTTGGCTCTTTAGAACAAATCATACACACGCAATATCATTATATATCGTAAAAAAGGAATAGAAGAAAAGTCTCTCAGCACAAATGATTGAATGAGACTTGGTCGTAAAGGTCTGGTTTAGTATGATATTAGCACAGCTTAATTTTGTTTAAGCTTTCTCCACAAAAATAAAGTATGTAGGCTAGCTAGGTTTTAATTTGAATTTTTTTACTAGAAAGGTATAGTACGAAGAAATTGATAATATAGGAACATCTTATAAGTCCTTGCAAAGTTTCTCCTTTCACTAATGTGAAACTATTTTACCGTCACATTCTCACACGCCGTCTCATGTGTGGCAAAATTTCAAATCAAATATGTGGACAACACAAATTCGGTGACATAGAGCACGTGTGGCCATTGGGCTTCACACGTTGATCAACTTGCTCTAATACCATGAAGAAATTAAGGTTCCTCCATAAAACCAATTAGTAATATATGGAATAGCTCAATCTCTTATAAGTTTTTACAAGGTTTCTCATTTCACTAATATGAGACTCTTTTATCTTCACATCTCACGTTCTCACATGGTATTCATTAAAATTGAAAGAATACTTATAGTAGAGAATAGAGTGCAATAAAATGGGTCTCGATTAAATTTTAATGAGAGTTCAAATATGGTCGAAAGAAAAAAAAATGTCTGCGCCAAACAAATCAATTAGACTATCCTGAAATAATATATCAACAATCAAATCAGGAGATACTTCGCACCAAATCAATTGCTTTTCACAAATAGGCTGAAAGCGTGCAAGTCTATATGCGACTCCTTGATCTTCAGTTTCACGCGTCGGGGTTTTCATTTGAATTTAAGAGTTTATCACGCTAAGTATTCTTCTTAATTTGGATGTATAAACGCAGTGGACATTATCTAGCTACTTGATATTCTTGCACTTAATTAATTTCGTCCATTGGTTTACTTTCATGAATAAAGTACGGCTTATCTCTTTCGCTTTAACTCAACCCTATTCGAAAGAGTTTGATGACATATTTACGTCCGATTATATTTGTACCTTGACTTCAACTAATGAAAACAACTAATTAATGTGTAGTTTGACTAATGAAAAAAAAAAGGGAAATTGGCAAGCTTGTCACCATGTTCTTAAGCAAAGATCCAAATTATAGATAGAAGTCTCTGTGTCGGCTCCATGATTGTCACCAAAATAATGTACACATACAATACAATTAATTAGAATAATACCTAAACATGAATAGTGTCATAATCAATAATTTAATACAAGCGATATCGATCCAACTAGGCCACAGCATCATAGGTAGCAAAATTCCACAAGCATACAGTTGGTTCTCGTGTTCTCTCTTTTTCTAAGGTTACCCAAATGTCACACCCACTATTTAGAGCTAGTTTGGAATTGCTGTATTTTTTTTTAAAACTGATTATACTGTACTGTGAAAATAAAAAAAGAAAGTTGATAACTATTTGATAAATTATAATGTGAAAAGTTCTTTTAGCAAAAAAATAAAAAGATGGGTAGTATTGTCAATATGAAAGTTTTATTAAAAGTTATTGCTTACCCGACACTTATGAAAAAAAATGTTTTTTGAGAAGCATGGTTAGAGTTGTGTTTGTTTTCTGCTGTTTTAGACTTATGATTTCAGAAAAACAACTTTTTTTTTTATTTTATATCAAACACAATTTTAATTCCAACTTTTTTTAAAAAGCTGTTTGTAAAAAAAAAATTTGAGTAACCCCAAACCAGCTTCCTTAGTTGACAGTTTGAATACAGTAATATCAAATTGGGGGATCGATGGATATGTGATTAATGTTTATATTGTTGCATGCAGTTGTACAAATTCATCTTGCGTAATTAAAAATTATTGCTTAAAGTTTGATTATTATTAACTTAGAAGCGCCAGAGTCAAGGTTCAAGCCCACGGGGTTTTGAATTCGAGCAATCAAGGTCAGACAAGCATAAAAGTTGTTTTCAATTATTGTATAGATTAGGATTGCTATTGATCGTAGAGAAAGAGTTAAGGATCCATTGGTAGTGGTTTGATTCTTTTCTGTTTTGGCTTTTGTTTTCCTTTTCTTTAAATTGTGTTCTAATTAAACATAGAAGGACTAGGGGACAGAAGAGATAAGAGAGACAGAGGGAATCAATGGATTAGAGAGAATTTTTTATAGCACTTGGAACACGAGTTATGTAGTGTATCGTTTTACACAAAGTAAGTTTTGAGACTTTTGAAGCTTTAGACGACATTAAAAAAATGCCCTACTATTACTTCACTTCGGAAATTTGTTTATAATTTTGCGTATAGATGATGTGTTTTTATTCTCCAATTGAGTTTTTAAGTATTTTCGTATTAAACTTATAGTTATAGGGTGTTTTTTATAACTTATTAACGTTATTGGCAATATCAGGCCTCTTAGAACAATATTTAGTGGGTTTTTTTTTGTTTTTATATTTAAACAATGCATGAATACCAAATTACAATTATACTTACAAGAATGAAATAATGTGTACAAAAACACAATCACCAAAGCCAACACGGTACTCAAGTTTTATAGAAGTTTACACGGTCAGTCTTTGTTTGGATCTTTGATGTCGAGTTGAATGTGTTAATTAGAACTTAGAAGGCAGATATATATTCCCTTCTTATATATATATATATATATATATATATATGTATATATCTTTGTCAAACTATGAAAGGATCCCAAACATAAACTACTCGGATACGAATTGATACATATATATATATATATATTTTTTTTTTTTCTTGAAGAAAATACGATAATTTATTGAATTTAATATGAGAAGCAATCGTCACTCAATACTACGGTATGATGGTATTCCTCTTCGCTTAGAAGCGAGAGGTCCTAGGTTTGAATCTCGTGAATGACGAATTCGATACCAAATTAGGCTGCCCATTGTGTGGCTTAGCCGAACTCCTCATCACCTATCAGCCAATTCGAGTGTTTCACCAGCGTCGTGAATTCAAGACAATGTTGTTTAAAATACGGACTTGGAATTCGTCTTTAACCATTGAGCCATCCGTAATGGTCCCGTAATTCACCAGTTGGATCAATGCCATTGTCGTTGATGTCATTGTCGACATTGAAATTTAATTAGACAGTGAAGTTCTAACGACATTTGTGGGACGACTGCTCGCGTCACTGCGCACGCTCGTCGTAGATGAAACTTATTCTTCCCACAGCTAGCAAATCTCAGGCATCTGTATAAAATACAAGCCACATTCAACTAAGCAAAAAAATATTCGAAATCTACTATCTTCCATGAGGTTTCTTTCTGTTAAGGACATCCTTAAATACAAATATGTTTAGATCTACGTCATAATTTATGCTTTAATCCCTCATGGCTTACGGGCTACTTATGCACTAAATAAAAAAAATATTCGAAATCTGCTATCTTTCATAAGGTTTCTTCTTTTTTTTTTCTTTTTTTTTTTTCTGAAAACTTTGACGGTATGAGAGAATTTTATTGATATCGAAAAAAGGGTACACCTAATCAGGAGGGATATAAACCTAATCCTTAAATACATATGTTTAGAAGTTAGAACTGTATATTATAATTTATGTTTTAATCCGTCATGACTTAAGGGCTATCTATGCTAAAAATAATCCAAATCGGTAACGTGAAAAAAAAAAATGAAAAAAAAAGTTCATTAGTTAAAACTAAAACGAAAGTGATGTGTGCCCGGGCTAATGAGCAAAGGTAAGAGTGGTGATAAACTCAACCCACTGTCTTATTTCCCCACCCACCTTTTAATAAAAAAATTTAATACCTAATTTACTCTCTTGTAAAATGACATCTAAGACCAAAGAAAAGAAAAACCCCTGCTTTCAAAAAATCAAGTCCCAGTACCTTTGGCCATTTTAATTTGATCTGTTTTTTTTTTTTTTTTTTTTTTTTTGTGTCAATACCAGCAAACAACCTTGAAAACTAGGATAAAGGCTTGTCTGTCCACAATCCACATACCGATTGTTGTGAGAGGTGCATACGAAGTGAAACACAATGTTCTCGGAAAGGGTGGTGTGCTGAAGGATGGAAAAGTGATTCAAAATTTTGATAGGATTAAACGCACACCACAAAGTAGCACACAAATGTCCTATTGATTTTCCTTATTAACACTAAGATTTGTCAATTGTAGCATATGAAAATAAGAGTTTTTCTCGCAGAAGATTGTTTTATCTAACTACTTAAAATGTCACAAAAATTGGGCTGCTGTCCCTACTGGCCAGCCACCGAAAAATAATTATTAGACTGACTTACACTTATCTAAAGTCTACGAAATTTTATTTGCAAACACTAGACACACATAGCTACACTCACACAAATATTTGGGATTTTTGGAGTTGATTTGCTATTTAAATTAAACTGGGTTGATGTCCTATTGATTTTTAAGTAGTTCACAATTTAAGAAAAACGAGTTAGGGGAATTGTTATCCACCACCAAATAATCATACAAACATGTTACGTTTCATTCAAATTCCTTTTATTTCCGGATGAAGATGCTCAAGTTGGCTCAATGTTAGAACTCAACATATTGCTCTTTCTTATGTAGTATGTTAAGAGAATGGCGTTTTCAACTTAACTTAGTCCCTAGCATGCAATCTCGAATGGCATGTTCATAGATTTAACAAGTAGAAATCATTAATGTGACATCCCGTCCCGGAATTATCGAAACGTACTTGTGAAATAACCATTTTGCCCCTAGTTAGTTTGGTTGTGTTATTGGTTATTTACGTGCCTTGTTGGCATGCTTGAGGATCACACACATACCCTCATTGTCCCTATCCCTTTCTCAGTCTCTTTCCCTGTCCCTCTCTCTCTCTCCCGAGTCTCTATCCTTCTTCTTCTTCAAACTTGTACGGACACACACACAACTACACTAAAACATCACAGATCGAGGAAACTAAGGACACCTTCGAACTCGTGAAGCTCGTGTGAGTACAACCATACCATTTGCAGGTGAGAAATCCTCCATTTTCACGTCGATTCAAGGTTCTCCGATTCGAGTATTGTTCATGCAAATTTAATCCTGTTAGTTTTTGGACTTTTGAAGCTTGTAGATGTGTTGGTGAGGTCCCAAGGAGCTTGGGAGTGCATCGTTGGACGGAATTGGACGTCGGAATCACGAACTGTAAGTTTGGCCGAATTTTCATATTTTTGGAAAGTTTGATTCCGTTGTTTTTAGGCCCTAAAACTAGTCCAACGTGGTAGATTATGATTAGGGCTTCATTTTGGTATAAATTACGTGAAAAATGGATGAAAAACGAAGGAGATTAGCGAGTTTAAAACTTTCCCAGTTTTCTGGTGACCGGAGTCCGGCGAGGGTAGGCCGGAGAAGAAACAGGAATATTCCGTTGAGTTTAACGGAATATTCCTAACGGCAGTAACGGCATCTGGTTAGGTTTAACGGAATATTCCGTTGGTTTAACGGAATATTCTTGACGGCGTCACTTGACACTGTCAGTGTGCATGGCACGTGGCCGCGCGTGGGTCCGTGCCTATTTTGGCGCGTGGGGGCGCGTGAGGGGTCCAAAAATTATTTTAAAAATATGGTTGTGATCCTGAGGTTGTGTAGATCACGTTGGTATATTCATTTGTCCATTTTGAGCAATGTATGAGAAGTTATTTTGAACGGACGGTTATGTGCTTTAAAGTTAACGTTTTTATAGTTAATTCGCATATAGGTGACACGTATCCCGAGGACGAGCGTGCACACTCGAGGCAGGGGGGCTACGACCCTTCCACATACCAGTGAGTGGGCTTTTTGTTTTCCGTATATACCTATATACATATTAATTCCCAGAAATTAGTATAAATGCTTCGTTATATGCCATTCCTTTTATATAATTGGTGGTTATGCATGATTAGTGGCATATACGTTTATTTATATATTCAATTATGCATATGTCATATATATATATATGTTGGTGCTGTGGAGGCATAGGTAAGTGCCAGGTAAGCGTTATTTAACGATTGCATTAAATAGTGGTTAGAGATGCTTAGAGAGCTCATAACCTGCACCCCCGGTGTTAGTGCTCCCGCCCAGAGTAGGGCACAGTCCTTCACGTGTTGTTCACCTCCCGCACCACACGCTCAGCTTGGATCCAAGTTAGGTGCACAGTCTTGTCGTACAGACCACTATAGGTGGTTCCGACTCGTAGGTGACCCGCGATTATTCGCACAGTCTTCACGTGATCGTAGCACTAGAGCGTTTATATGTGTCGCACCCAGGCCTGTCGTACAGACCACTATAGGTGGTTCCGACTCGTGGGCAGGTTTAGTTATTGAGATTGGGATTTGAGCTCTGGATTCAGCCGTACAGGTCACTTAGGGGACTCCGGCTGTCAGATGTTATGCTATTGATGTGATTTATACCTGAGCACTTGCATATCATTATGAGGCTTTGACATGACATACCTTTGAGCATGATTGGCATATTTGTTTATACGTATATATGTTTATTTTCTGGGAAGTATACAGGTTTTACGGCGAGGGGTTAGAATGTATTTTATGAAATGGTTTTCAAAGAATTTGTTTTTGCCCACTCACGTTTTTGTTTTGCGCCCCTCCAGGTTCTAGTAGCTTAGCGGGTTCGGTGGTTTTTCCAGAGGACGTCCCGGCATTTCTGACAGACACTCACCGATGTAGGGTCACCTTCGGGTGCACTTTTGTTGTATCTTTTCCTTTGGACTGCTGTAGGCCTTAGGCTCTGAATTCAGCGTCTCACCTACGCTAGCACTTATCTTATCACTTTATGTTTGCTAGTTTTTTTAATTATTCGTACTTTTATATTATTTCCTTTAGCTTCTGCACTGTGCACATGGCTACGTCACTTCCACGTGACGGCCAGCATGCCCTGGCCTCGGTTGGGGTGTGTCAATTAAGAACGAAAAGAGTTTGAGTCATCACAAGGCATCGTAAGTACTGGCGTTGTCTTACTTATCCTAGAAATTGGTTCACATGTTAATCGCAATTAACAAGTACTACTCTAGAACATATGTAGGTCCTCATTTGACAAGGGCAAGCACACACATGTTCTTAGCATTAGAATCCTAGATATGCTTACTAAGTATGCATCCGTAGAAAACACATAAAGAATTCATCAATGAGACAAGTAGTGAACCAATTTTCATCCATTCATAAAAGTAATTCAAACGAAATGTCATAACAAACTTGTAATCATATTCAGGGCTTCAAACAGCCCCTAACTACTAAAAATTTAGTTACACAATCCTTAAGTTAAAACAAAAGATAGACATGAGTTTGAGAAAATAGAACCGAAAGAAATCGCCTAAGGCTTTTTCTTTTTCCTTCCCCAATGCTACTTTTAAACCAATTCTTGCTGCATCATTTTCTTCTCCTTAACTCACCCACTAATAGACATTTAGATATGACAATAATTTAGAGGAAATGGTAAAACAATTGTAACTCCTTGGGTAGCCTTTATGCTAATTACTCCCTTTTAATCCTCATCTTTAATTCCATTTCCTCTGATATTTGAACATGTGTCAGCTGGTTTGTTCTTGATTGCATCAATTTTGGCTCCTAGATTTATTGGATTTATTGATTTCAATGCTTTCTTGTCAGTTACAAAGTGCTCAGCCTCTTGGGAACCTTTCAGTGTTAAAACGGTCATAACTTCTTCTAGAAAAATGATATTAACAAACTGTGAAATGCTCCAGAAAATAGACATCCGTAGCTTTCCAAGCATATAAGGCTCATTCTCTAATTCATTCTAAGCTGTCCACAACTTGCTTCCAAAGTCAGCTGACCTGCACAGGTAGTTTTGATGAATTTGTTACTTAAAATCCCACTTGTGCTATTTTTCTTTTCTTTGCTTGACAAATCCTACAACACACAAAAACAAAGTAAATAACTCAAAAATATAAGGAACTAACTAAGAAAAGACAAGTGAATTTGATATAAAATATTTATAAATATTAGCTTATCAAATACCCTCACACTTAGCTTTTGCTAGTCCTCGAGCAAAACAAAGAAAACATGAAATGTAGCAACATGAAAAACATTAGTTCCCCACTATGTGACCCTCATAGAATTTCATTCAAGAAAACAAATCATCAAGAATCTTAGCTAGCACCAAACAAGCTAATCCAAACTCATCTTCCTTATTCAAATGTTAACATCGATCTTTTAATCATCCTTGAAGTGTAGTGTGTGTAATAGCCATGCTAATGCAATTTCAAGTTTTGTTTTAAAACACCACATGCAAACTAGTGACCTTCCACGGGACATACACTCAATCACACATATGTTTAGTTTAACGTGTTTCACTCAAAGAATCAAATGTGAAAGATCTACCATAAGCTTACATAAAGATCTCATCTCCACAATCATAATTGCAAAACTAAAATCAAGAGGACTTTTATTGGATATAATGAGGCTTAGGGAGAGGGTTATAGAAATGAAAGGATAGGTAAACACAAGTTCCAAGCTACATTGCAAGCAATTCTCTTGTTGAGATTTATAAGAACTCAAACTCTCCAGCCACTCTACTAATACCTCCAACCACACCCCTAAACTGAAACTTAAAAAACTGTTTATTTGTTTTGTATAAAATTTTTTCTTTTTCTTTTTCTTCTTTTTATTTTTTTATTTTTTTATTTTTTTGGTTTGAACCAATTTTGCATATAACTAAATGCAAACATGAAATACCCCCCACACTCATTCTTTTGCCAAACTCCTTCAAAGTACTTCACAAACATTTCTCATAAGACAATCTCACATTGCTCACTCGCTAGCTTGGAAAGGTTAAGGAAAAATGTTTATAGATCTATCTGGTGATAAGAAATAAAAGGCTCAACATATACGGCTCAAATTGGCAATCTAATGATATCATTCTTCTTTAGGAAACATGCTTATTTGGGCCTTGGTGATAAACCTAATGCCTCTATCCTTTTCAAGTTCATGCAATCAATGACAAACATTTTGAATGATCGTTACGCAAGTTCTAAAGATATAAATCACATAAGTTCATTACACATGAAAGAATAGGAGTGTATGAAAAATGCACACACTTTCAATAGGCTCAAAAACTCACATAGGTTGTATATGGTCACTATATTTACATTCGAAGCTTTAAGTCATGTTTTAGTTTCACATCAACAAGGCTATGTACTTTTGGCTTTTCAAAGATGATTAAACATGTACAAAACTAACAAGAGAATAAGGAATTTCACACAATACATGCTTACTAAGTTCTTGATCACCGTGATTCAAATTCAATCCAATTATATCATTGGTCGGGAAACTAACAAAAATCTAATTCAAAACAATAAAGAAAATAAGACTATTTTTGGATTTTCACATTTTCCGAATTTTCTCTTTCTTTTTTGGGTTTTTATTTTTTATTTTTTTAGAGTCAACAAAACTAATCAAGAAAACAAAAAGCAACAACAAGGAAACAAATGAAACCAGTTCTTAGTCAAATTGACGAAAATTTTCAATTTGGTCATTTTTTCAATCCTTACCCCCAAACTTAGACTAGACATTGTCCCCAATGTCAGAAAACACAATAATGCATAAAATAAAAATAAAATAAAATAGTAAGAAACAAAATAAAGCATTTGGACTGAAAACTTCCCGAATTTTGCAGTACAATCAAGCGATGACCCCCAAACTTCAATTCTGCAATAAACTTCAAGGGTGGACATAACCAAATGTTCCTCCACATCAAGCTTCGCAAAAGACTCGTAATATGGGTTGAGTATATGCTCATTCACTTTTAAAACGTTTCTGGTCTTCACACTTTGGATTTCCACTTGATTTCTCGAAGCTTTTGAAGTATTCGTTCAAGCTTAGGATCGTAGGAAGCTAGGTCATATGCTACAAAGAGTACCTGCAATAAAAAAAAAAAGAAGAGAAAACACTAATTTAGACAAGAAAAGAAAACAATAGAACAATCAGTAATTAGAAATACCAATCCCCGGCGACACGGCGCCAAAAATTTGATAGGATTAAAAGCACACCACAAAGTAGCACACAAATATCCTATTGATTTTCCTTATTAACACTAAGATTTTTCAATTGTAGCATATGAAAATAAGGTCTTTCCCGCAGAAGATTGTTTTATCTAACTACTTAAAATGTCACAAAAACTGGGCTGCTGTCCCTACTGGCCAGCCATTGAAAAATAATTATTAGACTGACTTACACTTATCTAAAGTCTACGAAATTTTATATGCAAATACTAGACACACAGAGCTACACTCACACAAATTTTTGGGATTTTTGGAGTTGATTTTCTATTTAAATTAAATCGAACAAAAACATGACAAAAACAGATTTTTAAGTAGTTCACAAATTCAGAAAAACGAGTTAGGGGAATTGTTATCCACCACCAAATAATCATACAAACATGTTATGTTTCATTCAAATTCCTTTTATTTTCGGATGAAGATGCTCGAGTTGGCTCAATGTTAGAACTCAACTTATTACTCTTTTTTATGTAGTATGTTAAGAGAACGGTGTTTTCAACTTAGCTTAGTCCCTATCATGCAATCTAGAATGGCGTGTTCATAGATTTAACAAGTAGAAATCATTAAGAACGAAAAGAGTTTGAGTCATCACAAGGCATCGTAAGTACTGGTGTTGTCTTACTTATCCTAGAAATTGGTTCACATGTTAATTGCGATTAACAAGTACTACTCTAGAACATATGTAGGTCCTCATTTGATAAGGGTAGGCACACACATGTTCATAGCATTAGAATCCTAGATATGCTTACTAAGTATGCATCCATAGAGAACACATAAAGAATTCATCAATGAGATAAGTAGTGAACCAATTTTCATCCATTCATAAAAGTAATTCAAACGAAATGTCATAACAAACTTGCTATCATATTTGGGGCTTCGAACAACCCCTAACTACTAAAAATTTAGTTACACAATCCTTAACTTAAAACAAAAGATAGACATGAGTTTGAGAAAATAGAACCGAAAGAAATCGCCCGAGGCTTTTTCTTTTTCCTTCCCCAACGCTACTTTTAAACCAATTCTTGCTGCATCATTTTCTTCTCCTTAACTCACCCACTAATAGACATTTAGTGATGACAATAATTGAGAGGAAATGGTAAAACAATTGTAACTCCTTGGATAGCCTTTATGCCAATTACTCCCTCTTAATCCTCATCTTTAATTCCATTTCCTCTGATATTTGAATAAGTGTCAGCTGGTTTGTTCTTGATTGCATCAGTTTTGGCTCCTAGATTTATTGGATTTATTGCTTTCAATGCTTTCTTGTCAATTACAAACTGCTCAGCCTCTTGGAAACCTTTTAGTATTAAAACGGCCATAACTTCTTCTAGAAAAATGATATTAACAATCTGCAAAATGTTCCAGAAAATAGACATCCGTAGCTTTCCAAGAATATAAGGCTCATTCTCTAATTCATTATGAGCTATCTGAAACTTGCTTCCAAAGTTAGTTGACCTGCACAGGTAGTTTTGATGAATTTGTTACTTAAAATCCCACTTGTGCTATTTTTCTTTTCTTTGCTTGACAAATCCTACAAAACACAAAAACAAAGTAAATAACTCAAAAATATAAGGAACTAACCAAGAAAAGACAAGTGAATTTGATATAAAATATATATAAATATCAGCTTATCAAGAAAACGCCGGGAATTGTGTAAAATGTATTGTATAGATGCGATCCTCGTTGTGCATCTTGATCAATTGAATCGTGTCTTTGTTGTCACATCCCGGCCCGAGCCCCCACCACATCCCGGGCTCGACTCCACCGTAACACGATATTGTCCGCTTTGGGCCCCTACCACACCCTCACGGTTTTGTTTCTGGGAATTCACACGAGAATTTCTCAATGGGTCACCCATATTGGGAGTGCTCTTGTGTGCTACTTGCTTAACTGTGGAGTTCTCATAGAACCCGAAGCCAGTGAGCTCCCAAAAGGCCTCGTGTTAGGTATGGATGGGAATATGCATATAAGGATCACTCCCCTGGAGGATGTGGGATGTTACAATCCAACCCCCTTAGGGGCCCGACATCCTCATCGGCACACCATGCCCAAGGTTAGGCTCTAATACCAAATTGTCACATCCTGGCTCGGGATGCACCCGATTATGCCGTAGCATGATATTGTCTGCTTTGGGCCCCGACCACACCCTCACAGTTTTGTTTCTGGGAACTTACACGAGAACTTCCCAGTGGGTCACCCATCATAGGGTTGCTTTAGCGCGCTATTCGCTTAACTTCGGAGTTCCCATGGAACCCGAAAGCCAGTGAGCTCCCAAAATGCCTCGTGCTAGGTAAGGATGAGAATATACATATAAGGATCACTGCCCTGGGCGATGTGGGATGTTACATTTGTAGATTTTTTTTTTTTGTTTTTTACTCAATAAAAATAAAAAGAATTTTAATATTAAGGTTATTTTGGGAATAATAGTTGGTTGGAAGATAACATTTCAAGTTTTTAACTTTTTGTGGTGTGTAGGATTATAATGTGGGTGGGGAAATAAGACACTGGGGTGGATCTAATAGAACTCAAAGGCAATTACTGCCTTAATGAACATTAATTGCCCAAGTGCACCTCCACTCCTAAAATAAATTGCCCGGGCAATTGACATTAAAAAATTAATAAAAATAAAAATTTATGTTTAATTTCAAATAAGATTTTTAATCGATCTCGTCGCATGTCATGATTATGTAATTTCTTTTTATTTTTATTTTTAAAATTTTTAATGTTTATTTCTTACCTAATTAATATGAATTGTTGGATTACATTTTTTTTTTTGTAATCCAACCCATATTGTGCTACTTGGGCCACAAATCGAATAGCTACGGGGTGAGTGCGCTGCAGGGTTGGTCCATCCACTCGCGGTTACGCGCACGTGAAGCCCGCGCACCTGGCACAAAAAATAATAATGTGGGTGACATCACCCTGACTCATGCTACCTCATTTGCTGGATTGGTTGATTTTGGCTCCAGTGAGCAGTCAGGCCTCCTTCTTTTTATTGTAGTCCAACTTTTTTGGGCCGGGGTGTAGCTCATTTTGTCGGTTTTGGTGATTGAATCACCCAATCCCCCTTGAAATTGGGAGAGTTGGAGTTGCTTGAAGGAAACATGCCCTCACATAATTATAATTATCAATGAGTAAAAAAATATACAAGAAATAAAATGCTCAAGAAATCATATTGGGAAATTACAACATTTGTTAAGATAAATAAGTCAATAAATAATATTTTTTAAATTCTTATCTTTCGAAAAAAAAAAAATATATATATATATATATATATATATTTAACTACACTTTTATTACTATAACCTTCCTAAAGTTATAAAATTTGTTTGATCACAATTCTATAACTTTAGAGAAGTAGTTCTTGCTTTTCTTAAATAAGGATATCCTTAATAGATTTTTGTTGACAACATCCTTAATGAATAAAGCTTCATTGTTTTGTGTATTGATTATAAAACTTTGACACTTATAGAGTACATCGATGTTTGATATACATTACTTAATTTAACAGCTCGATTGCACCAAAGAATCTCAATCATTTAGAAACAATGAATACCATATACATTGACTTATTAGTAGAAATACTCCTAAAAAGAATTGCTAATATTTTTTTCTCTGACACAATCCCTGAGATGAACTATGATTAGAACAATTGTGAGTTGTTCTCAAATTTAAAATCACTAATAATAGTGCTTTACATGAGATTAACGATAATTAGCACAGTTATACTAAATTTAAAAACAGAAATAATATTTTTTAAATTCTTATCTTTCGGAAAGAAAAATAAATAAAAATTTAACTACACTTTTATTACTATGACCTTCCTAAAGTTATAAAAGTTATAAAATTTGTTTGATCACAATTCTATAACTTTAGAGAAGTAGTTCTTGCTTTTCTTAAATAAGGATATCCTTAATAGATTTTTGTTGACAACATCCTTAATGAATAAAGCTTCATTGTTTTGTATATAAAACTTCGACACTTATAAAGTACATTGATGTTTGATATACATTATTTAATTTAACAGCTCGATTGCACCAAAGAATCTCAATCATTTAGAAACAATGAATACCATATACATTGACTTATTAGTAGAAATACTCCTAAAAAATTTACTAATATTTTTTTCTCTGACATTGTACCAAGCCATCCCTCAGATAAACTATGATTAGTACAATTGTGAGTTGTTCTCAAATTTAAAATCACTAATAATAGTGCTTTACATGAGATTAACAATAATTAGCACAGTTGTACTCAATTTTAAAAACACTAATAATATTGCTTTATGAAGACATGGAGCCATTGTAGATGGCACACAAGACAAAGGATGGTTCATGGTAAGAGGCACATAAACAATGGTTTTAAATTAAAGAACGTGGGCTGTGTAAAATGATATTGGTTGGAAACTTGCAAGTTGCAATAAACAAAAAAAACCTCTGAATCAAATCCTAGATCTAATCATGTTCTTTAAGAGCAAATCCACGCATTTGGAAAGGGAAGAACAAAGCAGTTGAATTATCTTTATTATTTATTCTGAAGAGTAATTATTTTTGTGCAACACTATTCATTGGACAAAGAACAATGATGATTACTACTCACAAATATAAATTTTTTATTTTTATGCTCTATTGGCCTTATCACTCACGTGTCATTATCGTCTTAGGTTTTCGATGAGATTTTCATTCACTCTCGTTGCACCAAGTGTTATTATCTATAAATAATATCCGATCATAATTTTTATAAGATTCACGCCATTTGTTATTTGTAAGTGTGTTGAACTTTGTAAGTTTGTTTAAGTATGTTTAAATGTGAACTTTGTAAAGTGGAAAACAATTTGCCTTATCATTCATTTTTTTTTTGTAACAAAAGAATTTGGAGAGTGGAAAACAAATATAGGATATTGTAGTAAAAGTAAATGTTGATTTGTAGTGTGGGGAATGACGAAATGGTTGGTATTTGTAGGAATAAAACAATTCTTTTTTTCTTTCTATTTTTTGAAAATTTTATCGTCATATTAATCTACGTTGTTGATTTCTTTCCTCTTTAGAAATTAAACGCTCCAGGTTATGTCAAGCGGCACAATGATCAACTTTTCAATTTTTTTTTTTTATTGAAAATCCAACGATCCAACCCCTCCCCCTCCCCCAAAAAAAAACTTTTCTCACGTACATCATGATGACGTCGCTTATGCCAGTAGGCACAAGTGCACGGGCTTGGTGGAGCCGCCAGAATCCATTTTTGGGCCACTAAAAAGTCTTTAGTGGGTTTTGGGCAATTGACTTGTCCTTGCTCTGGCTCTTGCCTTTCAGGTGGAGTTGCTCTAAGAGTACAAGCGCAGCAAAGTAATTGGGCTTTATTAAAGTGGCTCCGGAAGTAGCCTGGAAGCAAAGTAATTGAAAACGTGGACCCTTTTGAAAATACTACGAGTCCAAAGTCCACTGATTTTTGTTGCTTATGCCGCCGAAGCGGCCGGACGATGTTTCCTAGCTCTATCTTGGAAGCCACTGTGAAGGGCCTCACACTTTCCCCCTTTGAACACAATCTTCCCAATCTTCCCTTATATATATTCATTCAAATCTACACACTCCTCCATCCCACTCTCAACACGTCTACTCTTCACTTCTTTTGGTGTTTTCGAAGTTTCTAAGAGCTCGTTTGAAACTGCTTCTGTTTCGAGTTTCTAAAATGGCATCAGAAGCTTCAGCTCTGGAGCTGATTAGGCAACACCTTCTGAATGAATTTACCACAATGGATAGCTTCATCGCTAGTCTCGACCTTTGCACCTCTGTCCCCCAACAAGATGAAATTGCCCAATCACCCTTTAACACAACTTCCTCCTCCTCGTCTACCACCACCAACGGTGGTAGTGAGTCTACTGACCAATATTTCAAAATCTCTGATTACTTAGTCCCAGAAATTGATCAAGACACCGAATTCGAAACCAAACCCCAAATCTCCCACCCAAAACCACCAAAACACTCGACTCTCAGCCACCGCAAGCCCCCCATAAACGTGGCAATTCCATCCCCACCACCTCTGTCTTCTTCTTCTGCTGATGAAGATCACAACACATCGAACACTTCCACTATGGTTGAAGCTGCTGCAAGGCACTACAGGGGTGTGAGGAGAAGGCCGTGGGGAAAGTACGCGGCGGAGATTCGTGATCCAAACAGAAGGGGTTCCCGGGTTTGGCTCGGAACCTTCGACACCGCCGTTGAAGCGGCCAAAGCTTACGACGTTGCTGCTTTCAATCTGCGTGGAAGCAAAGCAATTCTCAACTTTCCACTTGAAGCTGGAAGATCAGCAGAACTCCCAGCCGATCATCCTCTGCTGGCCAGCAGGAAAAGGAGGAGAGAACATAGCACTGAAATTCATGAGAATTCTGGTGAGATGATCAGAAACAAAGAGATAAAGAAAGAGGAGGATGTTCAGGAGATGAAAAGCTCCGCCCAAGAGAGAGTTTCGACCGCCGTTTGCCCATTAACACCGTCTAGTTGGGCGGCGGTTTGGGATATGAGCAAAGAAAACGAACAGGGGATTTTCAGTGTGCCTCCTCTGTCTCCGTTATCTCCTCACCCCAATTTCATGGGATATCCTCCGCTCATGGTTATTTGAATTTTTAATTTCTTGGGTATCATTCTTTGATTGCCAGAGTTTAAATTTGTATCGTCCATCTGCAAAAAAGCATAAAAAACGGGGTAATGTAAATAGTTCAGACCAGCACGTATTGAAGAACTCATATTGTTTTTTTTTTAATTTGATTTGTTTATTTATTCCTTTAATCTTTTTATAATGAAATGCAATTTTATATGAACTCTCTGTTAATTTCATTGAGAATGATTCTCTCATCTCTTAATCTTTTTTTCCTTCATTTTTTTTTATTTAAATAATTACAATTAAATTACGTTAATATTTTATATTAATTTTTTTTATAAAGATAATAAGTTAAAAAACAAAATGAAAATAGAAAAGGAAATCGGATAGGAATAAAGGAAGAGAATCTTGCGTGCGCGCAACCTGTAACTCTGCAAGTATAATATATTCATATTTTAGGGTTTTAAAGTCATTGGAGACTGTTCATTACACTGACATTTGACCTCAGCATTATTACTCTATTTGAAATTAGATAATGCTAGACAAATTAAATTCTTAAACCAAATGACGTATCATGTCACATCCCGGCCCGGGGCGGATCACTTCCCGGGCCCGCTCCACCACCGTAGCATGATATTGTCCGCTTTGGGCCCCGACCACGCCCTCACGGTTTTGTTTCTGGGAACTCACACGAGAACTTCCCGATGGGTCACCCATCCTGGGAGTGCTCTCGTGCGCTACTCGCTTAACTTCGGAGTTCCCATGGAACCCGAAGCCAGTGAGCTCCCAAAAGGCCTCGTGCTAGGTAGGGATGGGATATACATTTAAGGATCACTCCCCTGGGCGATATGGGATGTTACAATCCACCCCCCTTAGGGGCCCGACGTCCTCGTCGGCACACACGCGACCAGGGCTAGGCTCTGATACCAAATTGTCACATCCCGGCCCGGGGCGGATCACTTCCCGGCCCCGCTCCACCACCGTAGCACGATATTGTCCGCTTTGGGCCCCGACCACGCCCTCACGATTTTGTTTTTGGGAACTCACACGAGAACTTCCCGATGGGTCACCCATCCTGGGAATGCTCTCGTGCGCTACTCGCTTAACTTCGGAGTTCCCATGGAATCCGAAGCCAGTGAGCTCCCAAAAGGCCTCGAGCTAGGTAGGGATGGGATATACATTTAAGGATCACTCCCCTAGGCGATGTGGGATGTTACATATCAACAATAAGAAATAAGCACGTTAATTGATAATTAGTAATCTAATCATTTATAACAATATCATTTGGTTTAAAAAATTTGATCTTCTTAGTATTACCCTTTGAATTTTGACTTCATGAACTATTTTTTTGTAAATCAATTTAAAATAAGCCAATTAACTCCACACATATTCGATAAAATTTCATTTACTTTGTCATGAGATACTAGCATGACTTTACTCTCAAGAGTAATCAAGTGCTAATCACGTGTCAGTATTTGCCAACAATGTCAATAAAATTTCATCCAATATGTCGATGAGAAGTTAATTGGTTAATTTCAAATAGTTCAGAAAATTAATTTACCAAAAACAGTCAATCAAGAGGTAAATTTAATTGGGGTAATAGTTTTGAGAGTCAAACGGCAGCATACTCCACTAATGTTCTTAAGTTCATAATATTATCTTGTTAAGGATAATGATATTTTCCGTAGGCGAGGCTCCACATCTGAATGCTTGTTGATCTCCAATTGGTTTTATGTGTTGTTTAAGGAATAATTAACTTGTTAATAATGTTCTTAAGTTCATAATATTATCTTGTTAAGGATAATGATATTTTCCGTAGGCGAGGCTCCACATCTGAATGCTTGTTGATCTCCAATTGGTTTTATGTGTTGTTTAAGGAATAATTAACTTGTTAATTATAAACTGATATGAATATGTATGACAGCTATAGATTAATCACAAAACATGATTTATAAAGGTGTTTAAACGATCGAAAACGTTTTACCGACATTGATTATTATATAAACTTCTTTTGAACAAACAATATTATCTACACTAAAAGAGATAAGAGATGAGTTTAATCTCACAATGGACCTAGCGATTATTATATAAACTTAGATGTCCAAGTTAACTTTGTTCATGACTCATTGATTCCAATTGCTAACCTACTGTTTATGTCCAAGCCATTTTTGTCTTTATTTGGGGCAACGTGACAAATACTTTCACATATGTCGGTTATGTACTCATTACTGTGAGAATGCGACGAAGTTGTGCGTTTAGAGAGAAAGAGTATATACTGGGTGACATGCAGATTCTTTTTCGTATGGTTTAGTCGACTTAAGTGAAATATATATTTAATTGAATTGACAAAGTTTAGTAAGTGTAGAAAGAGATGGCAAGCTTGATGTACAAATGTAGACCGTCATATACATCGAACGGCATACGGTTAAGCTTTAGTGTTTACTTTTCTCTACGGTTCATATACAAGTGAAATGTGCAGTATGTTGAATCACATAAGGGTTCATATCTTAGTTCAAACCTTTGACCCAAAATAAAATATCTAGTTCAAACGATTAGTGTAATTAATCCTAAATACATATGGATGCAACATGTCATTAATGTTATACAATAGAGGTTGACATTCAACAATATTTTTGGCATTATAACCAAAATGGTCTTTGAGATTGGTATAATCCCTCACTTTGATTCCTGAGATTTGAAATCAATAGAAATGGTCCTTGAGTTTTGTCCACCGCTAATCATTTTGGTCATCATGTGAAAGATATCGGTTAAATAATGACCAAAATGACAAAAATACCTTCAATTTAATAAACAATGGACCAAAATGATTTGACAAAAATTAAGGGTATTTTTGTCATTATCTTTCTTATTTAACAGAAATTTTCCGCGAAATGACAAAAATGATTGATAGTAGACAAACTCAGGGACCAAAGTGAGAAGTTATGTCAATTTCAAAAACCATTTTGACTAAAAAGCCAATAGTTTTGTTATTCGTTGCAAGTAATAGCGGGAAAAGGAAAATTCGAACAAAAACCTCAAATGCAGTACTGAATGTTTTCAACCTCTTAAAGGACAAAGCTCTCTAGTGAAAGAAAAAAAAACGGTAAAATTCTATAATCCTTCAATTTGTCAAGATCAAAACCAGTAAAGTTCTATAATCCTTCAATTTGTCAAGATCAAAACCAGCTCATGCGAGCACTGAAATATCTTATAAGGTAGGTCATCTCTTCTTTGTCTTTCAATTTGGTAGAGGAGACTTAGAGGGCTCTGCTCGCAAGTTGCTGAGATGCCTACTGTGGTGGAAGCGACAGTGAAACATCGACATCATGCGTTAGTTGCATGGGAGGGACCCCTGCAGTTATCACTAGTTGCAAAACTTGTTCATGTCTTTGCTGGCTGCTGACGAGCCCTAATACAACTTCTTCTTCATGCCTAGTTGCAATCAAGTAGCAAGTTGGATAACACGCAGCTGGAAGTTAACAAAACTGTGGGCTGCTCTAAAAAATTTAATTTATTTTTTACCATGCCATGTTCCCCCTCCTCCAACTCTAACAAAGCGAGGAGCATTATTGACTTGATGTCTCTTTTATATTTTAAAGAAGTAGATTCGAACTCTAGTGCAATGTAGCTAGCAGTGCAGTATTATGGTTTGCATTTTGCAAACAATGATGTCTTAAACTATTGCAACTTATCGGAAGTTATATTCGAACTAGAGTGCAAAAGGATAATTTTCTACTATCACGTTTTATTTATCTGATATTTTAAACTACTTTAACACTTACAAAAAGGGAATTCAAACTGAAGTATAAGGACGAGCACATTACTTTAGCTAACTTGCCATATTTGGTTGTAACTAAAAAAAGAATGCGTTTTTCGTCATCATAATCATTGGTTATTGAGAAGAAAGGATAAGACCATTGGATTTAATAGGGGTGCCCCTATTACGTTGAAAGGTGGATGGTGATTCCTAAGAAACAAAAAAACAAGTGATATTTCCTATATAAATTTCCGCACTTTCTCACCCCAAAAATCATCAAATATTATTTCTAAAATTAGAAAAATATCATCCATATCCTTTCCATGCATGGCAATTAGCTTCCCCTTCTGCTCTCACTTCAACATGCCAGCAAATGAAGAACAAGATGATTCAACGCTTGAGCTCATCCGCCAATACCTCTTAGGAGACTTCACCTTCACAGATTCCTTCATTTCTCATCTCAATTTCCAATTCCAACCAGTCAAGCCAGAGTACTCGTCCCTCTCTGAATCAGGGCCCAGCTCCCCCATTTCAAACCCTAATCACCACAGCCCTCAATTCTCAACTTCCGAAACGAAACCCGAAATCGTTAACTTACCATCCATGGAAGCAGAGCCCCTGAATTTGAGCTCACCAAAGAGAAAAAATAGTACTTCCCAAAATCCCGGTCCAAAAGATGAATTACAACAAGTTTCAGGCCCTGGTGATGCGTTAAGGCATTACAGGGGAGTCCGGCGGAGGCCGTGGGGAAAATTCGCGGCGGAGATACGTGATCCGGCTCGGAAAGGTACTCGGGTTTGGCTAGGGACATTTGACACTGATGTTGATGCTGCCAAGGCCTATGATTGTGCAGCATTTAAGCTGAGGGGTAGGAAAGCAATACTGAATTTTCCGTTAGAGGCCGGAGTGTCGGAACCGCCGGTGAACACGGCGCGGAAGAGGAGGAGATCGGTGAAGCAGGAGGAGGTAGCAGAGACTGAAGAATTGGAGCTTCAAAGTTGGGTGCTTTGGGAAGGAGAAGGTGCTTGAAGGAGCTGTGTTAATCTCAGGATCCTCCTCTGCCGATGTGTTAGAATATGATTGGAGGACGGATTTACTGATTTACTATATGCATGGTCTGTAATATTCTACCGTATGAAATACTGCAAGGATAACATGTATGTACAAATTTAATAATAATAATAATAATAGGTTGTTTGTAAGATGGAAAATGAGAGTGAAAACAGAGAATAATTAGAATTAATGCAATGTGTATTTACTATACGGAAGATGATTCGCTCTGAATCTCTCCCATCAAAGGCTTATGATCAAGTGATTCGGACCGTTGAAATTTGATTCAACGGCTACAATTATTATAACTATTAGAATGACCTTTTGTTTGTAGCTGTTTGATCAAATTTCAACGGCCTGGACTTGATCCTAGGCCTTTATAGGAGAGATCCGGACCGGATCCTCTTCCTTAT